TGGTGTTAGGGACCTGCATACCGGTCCCAACCCTACCACTTAGCTAATCACCTCAATTAGATACTTCGTCTGTCTGAACCCCTGTTCAGGTGGTTGTTAAAAGGCAGCTTATTAATGAAAAATGCTTAGTACTATCTATACCTGACACAGAGTAGTATCTTCTCCATAAGTGGTTTTTTGTTTTTTTGTGTTTTTTTTTTTAATCTATTCGTTTTAGATTTCATGGTACCCGCCTAAATGCCATGAAAGTATGAGGCTTGAAAGTGTCAGAGAAGGATTCCTGGAAGAAGTAGTTGAAACTGGGGGCTTAAAAATATAAATTTAGGTCTTTCCTTGCTTTTCTTTACTAGGATCGTTGATTTCTCAGTCATTGTTAGCAGCTGCAAAATGCTGTAGAAACTTCTTTAATTTTTCAAGTTACCATACATGATTTTAAGAGCCAGTATTAAAAGCTTATAATAGAAAATAGCCCCATGCCCCAGTTATAATTTACATTATGCCAGCTGTTTCTCCTGATCTTCTTTATAAGTTGGAAGTAAATATCCTTATGGGCGATATTTCCTGATTTTTTAGTTTTACACATAAAGTGTCCACTGTTATTCGTGGAAGATAAATACTTAGCTCACAGTTTTCCTTCCATCCTCTCACCAGTGTGATTATGTATTAATTTATTTTTAAATTAGTGGCCAGTGGTTTATAACATTTTACAGCTATACCAAGCAGAGTATAGCAACTGTTCTTTCTTGTACATCCTATTTTTCTATTATTTTCTCATTTGCCTAGTATTCATTCAGGCCCAGATTAAATTTTCTTCCTGAATGTAACAGCATTTCTCATATGCCCGTCTAATTTTTTTTTTTTTTTGCAAAATTACTCTCAAAACTGTCCATTTCATCTTTTTCTTGGAGATCCTTCTCTGCTCTAAAATGATCTGGTGGCATAGAGCCACCAGCCATCTGAGGACAGATCTGCTGTTCTCAGTTCTAATCCTGAAACTTCTTTTCTCATCTATCATGGGATTTGCTTCTTTTTGCTATTCCCTTATGTTGAATTCGCTTTTGCCTGGGTTCATTTTTTTCCCCTCAATTTGCTTCCTTGGTTTTTGGGATACATTTTCCTTTAATAACTACTGCTTCTACTTTTTCATCTCTTCCTTTTCTTCTTTTAACAGTTTTATTGCAAAATAATTCACATAGAATACAATTCACCAATTGAAAGTGTTCATTGGTTTTTAGTCAGTTTTGCAACCATCACCATAATCAATTTTAGAACATTTTCTTCACCCTGAAAAGAAACCCTTAATGTTAGGAGTCACTCCCCATTTCCCTTCAGTCTTTACAGGCCCTAGGCAGCCAGGAATTTACTTTATGACTCCATAGATTTCTGTTCTGGACATTTCATGTAAGTGGAATCATATGCTGTATGGTCTTTGTGATTGGCTTCTTTCCCTTAGCATGTGCCAGTATGCATCCATGTTTTAACATGTAATAGTACTGCATTGCTTTTTATGGTCGTGTGATATTTAATTGTATGGATTGTATGGATGTGCATATTTTGTTCATCCATGAGTTGGTGAACATTTGGGCTTTCACTTTTTTGGGCTATTATTAATAGCCAAATTATTATTATTATTAATAATGCTGTTAACATCCATATACAAGTTTTTTTAAAAGATTTTATTTATTTGACGGAGAGAAAGAGTGAGAGACAGAACACAAGTAGGGCGAGTGGGAGAGAGAGGAGCAGGCTTCCGGCCAAGCAGGAAGCCTGATGGCGGGGCTTGATCCCAGGACCCTGAGATCATGACCTGAGCTGAAAGCAGATGCTTAATGACTGAGACACCCAGGTGCCCCCATATACAAATTTTTGTATATACATTTGTTTTAAGTTCTCTTGGCTCAGTTGTGAGTATCCAAATCTTGATCCAGCTCAGGTCTTGATCTCAGGGTTGTGAGATTGAGCCCTGTCTTGGGCAACGAACTCAGTGTGGAGTCTGCTCAAAATTCTCTCTCCCTCTCCCCATCCCCTGAGCTGAGATCAAGAGTCCGACACCCAACCAACTGAGCCACCCACGCACCCCCCCAAATAGGAATTCTTTAATAACTCATTAAAATATTTTTATTTTTATTTTTTTATTTTTATTTTTTTTTAAGATCTATTTATTTATTTATTTGACAGGCAGAGATCACAAGTAGGCAGAGAAGCAGGCAGAGAGAGAGGAGGAAGCAGGCTCCCTGCTGAGCAGAGAGCCCGATGTGGGCTAGATCCCAGAACCCTGGGATCATGACCTGAGCCAAAGGCAGAGGCTTAACCCACTGAGCCACCCAGGCAACCCTAAAATATTTTTTAGATTAGAAAAATTTTTAAGTTTAAGTTTCCCTGATTGTTTAGCATTTTTTGTTTGAGAGTTGGTTTGTAGTTAGTTAAAACGAAGATCCAAGATCCATACATAGCCTTTGATTGATCTACATCTTAAGTGTCTTTTTTAATGTGTAAGTTTCCCCCTCTTTCTTTTGCAGTTTATTTGTTGAGGGAACTGGGTTATTAGTCCTGTGTCATTTCCTACATCATCGATTTTGCTGATTGCAGAACCATTTTTATTTGTTCCCTGTATTTTTTATAAGTTGATACTTAGTTGTGGATGAGGTCTGATGATATTTAGATTCAAGTTCTTGGTAGGAGTACATTACAGGTCGTGGATTTCCTCAGATTTCTTTGTTTGCTTTGGTCTTTTTTTTTTTTTTTTAAGATTTTATTTATTTATTTGACAGACAGAGATCACAAGCAGGCAGAGAGGCAGGCAGAGAGAGAGGGAAAAGCAGGCTTCCCACCAAGCAGAGAGCCTGATGCGGGGCTCGATCCCATGGACCCTAGGATCATGACTTGAGCCGAAGGCAGAGGCTTCAACCCACTGAGCCACCCAGGTGCCCCTGCTTTGGTCTCTTTCTTGCTGGAGGTCACATCTAAATGTCTTGTGAGCTTGATTATCCATTCATACTTAAGTGTCAGCACTTAAGGAGGGAGATGGGGCACAGATGTGAGAATCTTGAGGCTTTTAGTTATTGGCTTCTTCTGCAAAGATACTTCCAGTCTCCTGACGGAGATACCAGTCAAGCTGCCAGAATTCTGGAAGAAGGGTGTGGAGAAGGAGCTGGATACCCTGCCTGGCAGGGTTGGGAAGGAGACCAGGGGCCCCAAATGCTTACCATGTAGACTTCCATTCAGTCCCCTCATCTGTGGCCTGTGGCTACAATTCTAGGAGCCATTCTTTGTCCCTTCTAGTTCTGAGCTCTTCTGTGATTCTGTGGGCCTGCTTCTCATTCGTATCCCACTCTAGGTATTCCAGAGAATCATTATAACAAGACATAAATCCAAGACATTGACCCATTTATTATAGCAGTATTTAATCAAAAATCCCAGTTTGAATTATCCTTTAATTTATTTACCGAAATAGTCACTAATGGTGACCTTTGTTACTTAGAGTGTGACACCAGAAGGAGGAGGACAAATGTTTGATCTCAATAAGGATTATTCATTTTGTATGGATTAACTCTCTTTTCTGGCTAATTCTTTCTCTGATTGTCGTTGAAATATGTGACCTTAGTTATGAAGGGTGATTTCATTCTTTTAGAATAAATGTCTTACTATAAATGCCTCACAGTTACGCACAATTACACATAGGACAAGTCCACCGTATTAGCCTTCTTCCACCATGTACTTACTCCTTTTTCTTTCTACTTGAATTTGTTTCCAAAGACTGCTCTGACAAAGTAGTATACACTTGGTGGCTTATAAACAACAGAAATGTATTGTCTTATAGTTCTGGAAACTAGAAATCTGACATCAAGATGTCAACAGGGCCATCCTCTTTCTGGAGGCTCTGGAGGAGGATCTGTTCTGTGTGTTTCTCTTAGCTTCTGGTGTTGCCAGCAGTCCTTGGTGTTCCTTGGCTTGTGGACACATCATTCTAGTCTCTGCTTTCATTATCACATGCTGTTTTACCTGTATGTCTGTCTTCACATGGCATTCTCCTTTCTGTGTGTATCTGTCCCTGTGTCTCATCTCTTCTTCCTTTTTTTTTTTTTTTAAGATTTTATTTATTTGAGAGAGAGAGAGAGAGAGAGCCCACAGAGGAAGAATGAGAGGTAGAAGCAGACTCCCTGCTGAGCAGGGATCCTGATGTGGGTCTTGATCCCAAGACACCCGCAGCAAGACATCGTTGCCCAACCACATTGCGCAGTCCCTCTTCAACAGAATATTCATGAACTTGTGCTTCCTAGGCTTCACGGCATTCACCTACTGCATGACCCAAGCAGAAGGCAGCCGCTTAACCCACTGAGCCACCCAGGCGGCCCTCATCTCCTCTTTTTATAAAGATGCCAATCATATTGGATTAAAGGCCCACTTTACTCCAGTGTGACCTCATCTTAATTACATCTTCAAAGAATTTCCAAGTCAGGTCAATTCATAGGTACTCGGGGTTGGGGGACACGATTCAACCCACAACATTGCTATCCAACCCACAAGATTGCTATTCTTTGCACTAAGAAATAAATAAAAACTATGTTGCTTATTTGGTTCATGATGAAAATTACTGGTAGAAATTATCACCAAATGCAAATGGAAACTGTACACAGTAATTTACTATTGACCAAAACTGCCCAGAGATTCTTAGAGGTAACATTGACAACCAAAAAAATTAATCTAGGCAAAAAAATAGGAAATCTAGGCGTCTCCTAGTGTTCTTACAAAGGGAAGTTGGAAGTCTTAGAGCATCACTGGGACAAGAAAAATGAGCCAGTTATAGCCTTTTGAGTGTCATCCTTTCTCCTCCCAGTTTCCTTTCTTATAAAATAACTTTTTAAAAAATGCATTAAAAAATTTCAGAGACTTGCCATGTTCTTCTAGTGTTGAATTAAGAGGAGATTAGGAGCTAGCATGTAGCTGTTGGGAAATATGGCTCAGATAATTTACTCCCCTTTTCCCTCTTTCTCTTATAGTTAGAAGAGGAAGATAAAAGACTTTGATTAATGAAGAACCTGCTCACTAAGAAGTGTTTATCAAGCCGCTGCCGAATTTCCATCAGAAAAGAAGTAAGCAGAGAATGCAGAGGAAGATAGATTTCAGGTGAGTGATAGGACTTGATAAAAAAAGGTAACTGAAATTGTGGCCCATATAAAAACCTGTAAACATTTTGTGTGTAAAAATGATAATAAAAAAAAGTAGTTTCTGCCTCAATCATGAGTGGTGAGAAAGGAACTTTGGGTAAGGATTTTTTTGTTGATATTTTGGGTTTCTCATCTAGAGTATAATGTACATTTCATACCTAATGTTACAGTTCAAAACGATTTTGTTCCATTTTGAGAGTGTGGGAATATCCATCATTAAAATTATGATTTTGAGCAAGAATGGGGGTGATTTTGCTGAGATTGGAAGTTCCTTTTTTTCCCCCACCCACAAATGCTTTATTGAATTCAGTTGCAGATGTGTATATAAAATGCTGTGAAAGGAGTGACAGCCTCAGACCATGGGCAGCTGCTAATAGCTTCCATAATATTTTATGTTCTCTGAAATTGCTTAGAAAATTATAAGTGAGCCAGTGGCAAAAATAATGATAAATGTCGGGCTCCCTTCTTAGTGGGGAGTCTGCTTCTCACTCTGTCCCTACCCCCTGCTCATGCTCGCTCACTCTGTGTCATAAATAAATAAAATCTTTATTTTTTATTTTTTAAAAGATTTTATTTGTCAAAGAGAGAGAGAGAGAGAGTACATAAACAGGGGGAGCAGCAGGCAGAGGGAGAAGCAGGTTCCCCGCTGAGCAGGGAGCTGGATATGGGACTCGATCCCAGAACCCTGGGGTCATGGATGACCTGAGCCTAAGGCAGATGCCTAACTGACTGAGCCACTCAGGCATCCCTACATAAAATCTTTAAAAAGGAAATACTGATGAACATAATGATCAGAAGGGGGCCCAAGACCATGGCCTAGAAGTTCAGGCACTTGGTGGTGGAGGCATAGGCCTGGGTCCTGGTCACATCACCCACCATCTTCTGGTCATTAGACTTCATGGAGTAGGTGCATACCATGAAGCCCAGGAAGCACAAGTTCATGAAGATTCTGTTGAAGACGGACTGGGCAGTGTGGTTGGGCAATGACATCTTGCTGTGGGTGTTGATCATGGTGGTTGCCATGGGAGCTAATCTCTAGGACTCCCAGAGTACAGCCACCTTGTGTTCCTCCTTGAGCATCTCAGGTTGCGGGGATGCCAGTGTGGCGCCAAGAAAGAAGCACTGGGAATTGCGGTTTGTGGTGCATGGTGGAGCAGCTGTGAGCCCTCCGTTTCCCCAGTTGTTTTGATTTCTCCAAAGATTCCTTTTTTGGTGTTTGGGACATCCTGAGGTTGAAAGTTCTAACACCAAAGGCTGACTGGATGTTGGATCTTTCTCCTGCTTTTGACCATGGTTACTTTCAGCCTAGATGAAAGTTCTTTTGATTCCAAATAGCAGAATCCAACTCTAGCTAGCCTTGACAGAAGGAAGGAATTTAGAAGAAAGAGTGCAGTTTACTAACAGACCTCAGACTCACAGAGGTGGGTATATGGCTTGTAGCTGGCCAGTCATGAGTGTCCCACTGTCCTGGGCACGGTGATTGGTTCAGGTGTGGGCACATGACTGCAGAGGCTAATCAGGGTGGGTTTGTTTGTTTGTTTGTTTGTTTGTCTCCCCCCCGCCCCCCGCCCCGCAAAAGCTGAGACAGCCATTTAAAGAGAGGGTTGCTCTCTATTGCTGAGGTTGCTCGGGAAGCTGTTATAGCATCCACCAAGCAGAAGCAACAGAACCTTGTGCTGGTAAGCAGGTCAGCACATTGAGAGAAGCAGGAAGATCTAACAATGCTGAAACACCAGTTCTAGTTCTTAAAGATACTGCAAAATTCTTCCAGAGTGCAAGAGCTAGGGAATTACCTCTTTGTGCTGGATATCTAATCTCCACTCAGTGCAAGAAATTAGCCAAAGAGGAGCTCAGCAGGAGGTATGAGGGAGGGAGAAGAATAAGGCCAGAGTATTTATTCCCTTGGCTCCCTCCTTGGAAGATATTTTGGGTTGGCTGTGTCCTTCCACTGAAGCTCACAGAGCACCTCGTAAGGCAACAGACTCTGACTCTCCTTCTTTGTTCTGGTAGTTATTTCCTTTTCTTATCCCTTTGGGCCTAGAGGTGGCTCAAAGAATGAATTTGGAAGTGTTCCTTCCACCATTTTTTTCTGGAAGAATTTATAGAATATTGTCCTCATTTATTTTTAAAATATTTGATAGAGGGACGCCTGGGTGGCTTGGTTGGTTAAGCGGCTGCCTTCAGCTCAGGTCATGATCCCAGCATCCTGGGATGGAGTCCCGCATCGGGCTCCTTGCTCAGCAGGGAGCCTGCTTCTCCCTCTGCCTCTGCTGCCCGCCTGCCTGCCTGCCTGCGCGCGCGCTCTCTTTCTCTCTCTGACAAATAAATAAATAAATAAAATCTTTAAAATATTTGATAGAATTCATCAGTGAAGCCATCTGGACCTGGGCTTTTCTTTGTAGGAAACATTTTAATTACTAACTCAATTTCTTCACTTGTTACAGGTCTGTTCAGAGTTTCTACTTCTTGAGCCAATTTTAGTAATTTGTGTTTTTCTGAGAATGCGTTCATTTCATCTCAGTTATTTAATTTGCTGGCAGAGAGTTCATAGTATTCCTTTATATTTTTTTCTAATAAAACAGACTTTATTTCAATTTATGAAAAATTGGTGGTAATATCCTCTCTTTCATTCCTATTGTTAGTAACTTGCTAAAGGGTTGTCAGTTTTGTTGAATGACCCTTACTGTTGTTACACTCTTTTTTCCTTATTCCAATTTGAATTGGATTCTTATTGCTTATAATAAGAATTTATTGAATTATTCCAATTAAGAATTATTATAATATATAAGAATTATATTATTATGCATGTAATACATTTTAATATTTTATTATATTACAATATATAAGAATTATTCCAATTTGAGTTGGATTCTTTTTTTTTTTAATTTTTTTATTTATTTGACAGACAGAGATCACAAGTAGGCAGAGAGGCAGACAGAGAGAGAGGGGGAAGCAGGCTCCCCGCTGAGCAGAGAGCCCGATGCGGGGCTTGATCCCAGGACCCTGGGATCATGACCTGAGCCGAAGGCAGAGGCTTTAACCCACTGAGCCACCCAGGTGCCCCTTGAGTTGGATTCTTATTGCTTGCAACCTATGATACTAACACAGAAATTTTTTGTGGAACCTACTATTCCTTGGGCAAGGTAGAAGCCAGGGTATAGTGGGAGGGACCTATCTAGCAGTTGTTTGGACCCTTCCTTCTGAGTGGTGCCATATTGGTGCTTCAGCCCAACTCCTGTTCAGTCTGTGTCTCAGCTCCAAATTCAGTCCTGGGTGGATGAATCTGGTTGGTCCAGCGTGCGTAAGATTTCTCCTCCTGCTCCAATCCATCAGGACTTGGAGAAAGGTCATGGAGTTCCAGCATGGCTGCTGAGGCTGCCCCTGCTGATCCCATGGAAAAGGGATCCTTGAAAGCTGAATCAGCACCCTGACGGTGTTTCCAACGTGATCTGTAAAGTATCCTTCAGGCCTGCCTCATTATATCCTCCAAAGCAAATTAACCATGGCTTAAAATGAAGCTCTGTAGCCTCTAACTCTGGTTTATTTTCCCCAATTGCTTTACGGCTTTAGATGTGGGACCTTGAGAAGAAAATGTATTTGCTTAAAAAAAAAATTTAAACTGTTAGCACAGTTTAGATTCAGAAAGGTACATAAAATATACTGTTTATTATATCATTTTGAAACAAACATGGAACCATCACACCGTAAAGAAATAGTGTATTGTCAACACCTCAGAAATCCCTTTTTCTGTATTCTTTCCTAATCACACCCACTTCTTCTTCTCTAGAGTAAACCAGTGTCCTACCTTAATAGTAATCACTTTTGCAAATTTCTTTATATTTTTACCAGTTAAGTATGCGTTCCAAAACAATATAGTTTAGTTTTCCCTCTTTGCCTTTATATAAACGGAATCATATTGTATGTATGTCTTAATTCTTTCTCTCAAGATTTTAAGATTTCTTCACATGATAGTCCATAGTTGTGGTTTGCTCATTTTCCTTGCTCTGTGATACATTCTAAGAATATTACACAGTTTATCAATTCTGTTATTGAGCATTTGGGTTGTTTCCAGTTTTTGAATGTGATGGACATTCTCATATGCATAGTTTGGCACACAGTGGTTCTCAAGTTTGAGCCTGCAGCAGAATGCCCTGGAGGGTTTGGTAAACACAGATTGCTGGACTCCACCATCGGAGTTCTGATTCAGTAGATCTGGGGTCACGCCCAATGATTTGTATTTCTAGTAAGTTCTCAGTTAATGCCGATGCCGTTTTGGGAATCACACTTTGATAACCACTATTTTGGGTATATAATTGGGAATAGGTTGCAGGACCAAAAGAGAAGAGAATTTTCAATTTTTCTAGGTAACTGTTTTCTAAATTGGTTGTACCAGCTTGTGCTCTCACTGGCCATGTATGGGTGTGCTGTTGGGTTTTAATTGGGATTAAACAAAAACCGTTGGGGTTTTAATTGGGATTACTTTGAAGCTATAGATCAGGTTGGGAAAAATAACAATTTTGGTGAGTCCTAAAATTTTCCCTATAAAAATGTTTACAGGGGCACCTGGGTGGCTCAATAGGTTGGGCCTCTGCCTTTGGCTTGGGTCATGGTCTTGGGGTCCTGGGATCGAGCTCCACGTCAGGCTCTCTGCTTAGTGGGGAGCCTGCTGCCCCCTCTCCCTCTGCCTACCTCTCTGCCTACTTGTGATCTCTCTCTCTGTTGAATAAATAAATAAAATCTTTAAAAAAAAAAAGTTGTGAACTTTTTTTGGGGGGTGAAGGTAAGCCCTTCACCCAACATGGTGCTTGAATTCACAATCCCAAGATCAAGAGTTGCACGCTCTACTGACTGAGCTAGCCAGACAACCCAAATGTTTACAACTTAAAAAAAAAAAAAAGATTTATTTATTTATTTGAGAGAGACAGAGAGTGAGCAGGGGGAGGGGGAGGGGCAAAGGGA